CAGTGGGGTTCTCATGTGATGATTGCTTTAAAATGTCCGCATTCCCATGCAAAAGCCGACAGACGTTTTGGGTCCCAGCCGCCAAACATATGGAACGTTCCATGGCTACCCTCCATGGGGCTCGGCAGCAAACCAACAGTCCCACAGAATGCGCACGCTCTCACAATCAATGGCATGTAACGTTCCACGGTGCAGCACGGTTGCCGAGCTCCGTGGCGTACTTACAAAGGCCTTCATGTTGTGATCAGACAGATGACTGGATGCCTGTGAGAGCCCAGGCTCGGTTTTTATACCCCCGCCTCCTGCACCATGAGCCGTCCTTGTGGACTGTACGCCAGGTCGTGCAGCCCCACCCACAGCGGGGTGGGCTCTATGTCACGAGGAAGGGGCGCACCGCCGCGGGTCAGGGCTCCCCGGACGAACGGCCACAGCGGCCGGCGCCGGTCCTGCACGTCCGTTCGCGCCAAGTCAGCAAGGAAACAGGCGCGAAACCAAGTACGCTGAGATCTTTGACCTCTTGGCAGTTACAAGCAATTCGCCGCCGTTTTTATAATTGCTATTTTAAAAGCAGTTTTGATGGTGAATATCTGAAAACCTCGATTATTATCAAGGAAGTGTTCCACATTTGCATGGGGTTTTGAACTGAAATAGCTATCTTAAAGATCACCGGATGCAGATAGCAGTCCTGTGCTTTTTAAAACCTCAACCCCCTAATTTTTGGGCTGCACGCCCGCTAAGTCGCTCATATCTGGCGTCCGTGAACGCGATTTTCGTATGTAACGGTCTTAAATTGTCTCTCAGTCAATGTGGTGCAAGGTACGATGATGTTATCAAACCGTAACGTATTGTTGAGCATATTTACTAAACAGTCTGGTCGTGTTGTCTCGAGCAGTTTTTAACACTTCGAAACATACTGTTAGTTATATGTGGTCTTGTTTATTATTTCTGATGCTTGCTCAATGTCTTTAAATATTGAACCTTAGCAGTGCATGACCATTTTCTCCTACAAAGTATTCTCTTCTACACTCTTGGTATTCTAGATGCTCATCGAACGAATACTAGATATCCAGAAAAGTTGTCTTTCAGGCCAATTTGGGAGCCGCACCGCAACCGTCCATGATTTCATTTATCATAGCTGCGTTTTGTATCTTTTTGTTTCCATGAAGGTATGAAGCGGAAACATAATTACATCCATCTCTCCATTCTCCCGGTTAATATACGGGGAAGAAGGTTAAGGGCAGGCTTATCTACGTACATAATGTTGCTCGGAAATGCACTTAATAACTTAAGTTTCCTCAGTGCACCATCTTTCGACGTCTGCTCCCTCTTTAATTTTGTTTGTTTCCTTTCCGTGTTCTCGTTACTGTTAACTATCTTGCATCTGTGCTGCTCTCTTAACCGCACACTGCGCAGACATATGTCCAATTACTTTCCCATCTCCGATAGATTTTGAAGAAAATGGTGCATAGGCTTGAAATATGGTTTTCCACCGGCCCCTGAGAGAAAGCACGTTATAAAGCTCGCTTGGCGTCAATGGCGTCGCACGGATTTTTGCCTTGCTGGGTAACAAAGAAATGTCACGTGCATTGAAGTCCAAAAATGTCTGTCCTGGACAAATGTGTTGGATACTTTGATCGCTCTACTTTCATGATCTTTGGACAGTGGATGATTGTTGCCATCCTGAGTGTTGTCCGGTCCACCGGGCAGAATGTATGGTATCTCAGCGTCTCTTGTACGGCCACCGCGTTGGCGAAGAGACTGCCGAGGTTCGCGGCCGTATATGTGACAACTTCCTTTGACGCGTACATCATTGTGATCGTGGATGCAAGCTTTTATTGAAAACCAGAAAAGGCTCTCGGCATTGATAACCTAGTTCTTACAGTACGCCGGAGGCTTCACAATTTGCGCGCTTTGTCGTCCCACCAATGCCATTGCGTGCGCCCCTCCGTGCGAAGCTGCGGAAAAAATGCACGCAGATGTCACGCCAGGGAAATTATCGTTGTGAATACGCGCACTCGCAATGTTATACTATTTGTTCTGGTAACAGAACAGTCGAAGAAGCACACCAGCCTGTACGTTCCGCACCCCGGCCTGCTCTCCGTCCCCCAGCACCAGCCCATTTGGTATGTCTCAGAGCGGTCACATTGTCTGGCCCAACGATGATGAAAAGGTCAGCTGGCAGCTGACCAACAAGGGTCAACCCTGGCCCGGGGCGGCCGTGTCACAGCGTTGTGCGGCAAGTAAAACCCTCCGCATTCCTGCCTGGCGCAAGGGCGGAAACAAAATTATCCGTTGGACTAGACGGTATGACTTGGGTGGCGGGTTCAGGGTACACGCAACAAGCTATGCTTAGCATTTACTATAGACCCAGTCTCCCACACAAACCATTCGAAATAATTCTTAAAAAATCCTTTTTTTGTGTTAGGGCGTTGCGGCAATCCTACCAATCGTAAAATTTTAGAATCGCCTCATATCGAACAAAAAAACTGCCGTTTAATATTGTTTGGTCTATATACCCGTTACAGATTTCAAGACGCCTTTTCATACGGAGTCAAAAGAATATTTCCCGGCGTGATTTCTGTATTTTTCAAGTTTTTTTCAGTCTTTGCGCACAGAGGTCGTGTTAAATTCTGTTCACTGTGACCATTGTTACGTCAAGCGATGTAGGTTAAATGTTCTTATACTTCATTGTGAATTGATCGATCTCTACCTTTGTAGCCATTCTGATGATTGGACGCGATGTATCGAAACGTTCACAACTACGCTGATGACGGTGACTGCCATCCTTGCCATAAAGTGTTTACTGCCTCTTACTTACCCGAGTATGTTCCAAATGAATAATATATGTATATATGTATATATATATATATATATATATATATATATATATATATATATATATATATATATATATATGCACGTCTGGATACGGGTGGGAGAGCCACTAGGCGTTTTAAATAACATTCTAGAAGAACGGTTTAGCCCCCCCCCCAAAAAAGTTAAGATCCTTCCCCGCCCCCGACCATAGGTCTCGCGACACTAAATTCAATAAGTTTGCACCTAGAATGTCTACATTCGCAAGATGTCGTCCATCACGTCTCTGCACTGTCCTTCAGTTTCAAGAAACGTCATTGCATGTCGCCAGCTCCGCATGGCCAGTTTTGGAAAACTCCAAAAGTAGCGTTTGCCGGACGAGAGTCATCCTTTTGTGTTGCTTTATTTGAAAAGGCATTGGTGAATTTGAAATCAGACTGAGACAAAAAATCCTAATTGTACTGCCAAACGGCCCAAGTTACTGCTTAAAATTAATTCACAGTGTCAAGCGATCAAATTCAAGAGGCCAACTTTCCAGATAGCGATCAAGTTTTTTGATAAACACAATGTCGATGATATGTAGTTTGAATCTGATCAAACTGATAACTTATTATTAATAAGGCAAAATAAGGCGGACTGCCCCAGTTCTAATGATAGCTTCAGCATGAAATAATTTCTCACGAGCTCGTAGCTTGACAGTGTTAATAAACATCGCTACACTTCGGCCTATCACGTCCCGCTCACCAGTGATACCAAGGATGCAAGCGATTCTTTTCACTACAGACACGGCCGCGAGAAGGCAATAAAAGCAGAGGAAACTTGCTGTTGAATGCAAGGCATGGTTAAATGCAAATGCCGTGCCTGAAGCAGCCTTGTGCGTCATTGACGTGAAATTTTGAAAATCTTGTTGACTTGATATATTGTGCGCTTGAATCCGCTGTTCTTTGGTCGCTCAATAGCAGATGAAGTTGTAGCTGGTGGTTACTGACAACATCCTCCGTCTCAATAGGTTGTTTTCGACCACTTTGTGGCACGTATGGTGCATGTTTGCAGTATTCCCCATAACTCTTTTTTACTCAAATATTTCAGAGATTTTGGAGCTGCCTTCAGTGTTACCTGAGCCTCTAGATTGTCATGTCATCTCTATCTCACCAATCTTATCGGAAAGGCCGTGCAAGTAAGCAGCCTACTCCTCGGTTTTCTTGCAAACGAAACGATAACCCCCGTTGGCATGATGATGTCACAATCATTCGGCATATTGGTCTGCATGATGCAGTCCACATGTTATAGAACACATTATCGTTTATTCGGCAAATTACTTTGATATCAAACTGACCAACGAATTTATATTAACACTGCCGCAAGTTCGCTCTCTGGACAACTACAAATCATCTGCGACGTAGCTCCGAAATCGTTTACGCTATTTTACGGTGGCTCGAAATTTGCGTGAATAACAACATGGAATATCTAACCTGCGCAAGACTCAGAAACATCCTGAACGCCTTATCAAATATGGTACAACCGAAAGCTAGCGTGAAGTGCATGCACATGGCAGACATCGCACCGCCTATGTCGAGTAGAAACGGCTTTTCACACACATTCTTAGCACGCAACGACGTGGGGCTGATGTTAATTACGTGCATCTAAACGCTGGATAACTCAATGTTCGTTGTGCGCCTGTTGGGACGGCAAAAAGAGCAGAGTTCATGCATTAAAGGGAATGTTCCACATTTGAAGATATTGCGGCAAGCATGAGATATAAGGACACAAGCTCAGTCATAACCATTGTCATACCTTTAAAAGAATAAGCCTTCTCTAGACTTCACATGTCCTCTGTTTTATGAATAGGCTCCTCAATGCTTCATTATTTGTTCCCATCACCGCACCGTGCAAAACATTGCTTAAGAGCTAATTGGCGGCAGCTATATCTGGAAATTATGCTCACGAACGCCAGATATGAGCGGCTCGACAGCGGTATTTTACTTTTCCGCACTCGCAAAAATGACCAACAGAATGACAGCATGTGACCGGACGATATTGTGATGTCAAGGGTGCCTGACTGATGGTGACGTAGTCCAAGAAATAGTCGTTACATCTTCGCGGACGTGTAAGTCATACACAAGAAAAGCTTACATCTTGAGAAAATGTGCAGAACCACAAACTATGGTTACTGTAAAACACGAAGCCGATTGGAAATGAAAGTATATTGAGGAAGATGATCACAACATGTCTGGGCACCACACGCTGACGCCGCCCTCACACCAATAACACAAGCCGCACGCCGCATGAGCAGAGCAACTTCAAACCTTCCTACCAATGTGCTGCATGGCGGCACTGAATGTGTGACGTAGATAAGTGTTCAATGATCAGTCCTGGGCAGGGGGCAGGTAATCGGATTTGAGCTCGACAACGGCGGGGGCAGCCTTGATTGCAACAGGAGCCGGGACAGCGTAGGCCACAGGGGCAGCCTCAACGGCAACGGCAGCGGGGGCAGCCTTGACAGCAACAGCAGCCGGGGCAGCGTAGGCTACAGGGGCAGCCTGAACGGCAACGGCGGCGGGGGCAGCCTTGACAGCAACAGCAGCCGGGGCAGCGTAGCCGTGGGCAGCGTAGGCCACAGGGGCGGCCTGGACGGCCGGGGCGTAGACGCGCCTCCTCACCTCCACGGGGGCCGTGTGCACGGGGGTGGGCACAGCGTACGGCTCCGGCACATCGTAAGGCACATCGTACGGCTGGGGCACGTGGTTGATGGTCTTGACCTCAGCGGCGTACTTCTGCACGCTGACGGTGGCCGGGTTGGTGACGGTCTTGCCAACCAGGGTCCTGGGGGCAGCGATGACCGGGGCAGCAATGGCCGGCTTGTGGATGCTCGTGGTGTGTCCAGTGACGACCTGCTGGTCAGCGTAGTGGACCGTCTTGGTGACGGGGATCTCGACCTCCTGACGGACGATGGCGGGCGCGGCGGCGGTGTAGGTGACGGCGGGGGCAGCGACAGCCACAGCCGGGGCAGCCTTCACAGCCACAGCGGCGTGGCTGGCATACGCCACGGGGGCAGAGTACGCCACGGGGGCAGCGTAAGCCACGGGGGCAGCGTACGCCACGGGGGCAGGAGCAGCCTTGACCTCATCCACCTTGATGGCCTTGAGCTCCACAGGTGCAGCGATGGCATCCAGGCCAGCGGGGAGAGCAGCACTCCTGAGGTTGGCATAGTTGCCGGGGGCAGCTGAGCCCACCACAGCTAGTGCAGCAATCACCACCTGAAAAACGGTGACGGGTGTAAAAGGGAGCAGGCGATGGTTTGCACTGGGGCCATTTTGAAGATTTTTAGTGATCATGTTGAGAAAGCGATCGCGGTTTTAGTGACATGCAACACACCAGACAACTGATTTGCAGTACTGACTGTTCATGACATTGCGACTCAACAAACGGTGTTTAAAAGCCTAACAGCCAACAAAAGGGTTTTCTAATTTTATGATTTATGGGAACATGGGGCACATCGCTAAAAATCTTAAATATTGGATAGAACCACGTTTGGAGTAAGGGAAATACAGCAGCTTTGCACTGTTTTCCCACGGCACCGCGCTGAAACGTTATGGCATATTATGCTATCATGGTGCTGGTACACGGTAGCAATACCATCAGCGAAGCAATACTTTGAAATCGTTGGAAGAACATTATGCGTTTCCAGACGGCGATATCTGTAAAACGTCCTTATACCTGATGCAAACATTGAGAAACATTTTGGGTGCCAACCGCCAAACACATGGGGTGTTCTACGCATGGCTATCAACACTAGATTTCCATAGTGCTCGTGAATAAGGAAACAGTCATACAACACATGAATACTCTCGCAATCGATCGCATTGACGTTGCACGGTGCAGCGCAATTTCCGCACTCCGTGGCGTACTTACAAAAGCCTTCATGTTGTGATGAAACAGATGACTGGATGCCTGTGAGCGACGAGGCTCGGTTTTTATACCTCCGCCTCGTGCACCATGAGCCGTCCTTGTGGGCTGTACGCCAGATCGTGCAGCCCCACCGACAGCGGGGGCGAGCTCTATGTGAAAGAGGAAGGGCCTCACTGCCTCGGTTCGGGGCTCATTGGAAGATCGGCCACGGCGACCGGCGCCGGTCCTGGACGTCCGTTCGCGCCAAGTCAGCAAGGAAACAGGCGATAAACCGAGTACGCTGAGATCTTTGGCCTCTTGGCAGTTAAAGGCAATTCGCCGCCGTTTTTATAATTGCTATTTTAAAAGCAGTGTTGATGGTGAATACCTGAACACTTCGATTACTATCAAGGAAGTGTTTCACATTTGTGTGGGGTTTTGAACTGAAATAGCTATGTTGAAGATCACCGGATGCAGAGAGCAGTCCTGTGCTTTTTAAAACCTCAACCCCCTAATTTTTTGACTGCACGCCCGCTAAGTCGCTCATATCTGGCGTCCGTGAACGCGATTTTCGTATATAACGGTCTTAATTTAGCTCTCAGTCAATGTGGTGCAAGGTACGATGATGTTATCAAACCATAACGTATTGTTGAGCATATTTACTAGACAGTCTGGTCGTGTGGTCTCGAGCAGTTTTTAACATTTCGAGACATACTGATAGTTTTAAGTGGTCTTGTTTATCACTTCTGATGCTTGCTCAATATCTTTAAATATTGAACCTTGGCAGTGCATGACCATTTTCTCCTACAAAGTATTCTCTTCTACACTCTTGGTTCTCTAGATCCTCATCGAACGACTACTAGGTATCCAGAAAAGTTGTCTTTCAGGCCAATTTGGGAGCCGCACCGCAACCCGTCTATGATCTCATTTATCATAGCTGCGTTTTGTGTCTATTCGTTTCCATGAAGGCATGAAGCGGAAAAATAATTACATCCATCTCTCCATTCTTCCGGTTAATATACGAGAAAGAAGGTTAAGGGCAGTCTTATCTACGTACATAATGTTACTCGGAAATGCAATTAAGAACTTGAGTTCTTCCAGAGCCACATCTTTCGACGTCTGCCCCCTCTTTAATTTTGTTTGTGTTTCCTTTCCGTGTTCTCGTTACTGTTAATTGTCTTACATCTGTGCTGCTCCCTTAACCGCACACTGCGCAGACATATATCCAACTGCTTTCTCATCTCCGATGAATTTTGAAGAAAACGGTGCATAGGCTTAGAATATGGTTTTCCACAGGCCCCTGAGAGAAAGCACGTTATAAAGCTCGCTTGGCGTCAATGGCGTCGCACGGATTTTTGCCTTGCTGGGTAACAAAGAAATGCCACGTACATTGAAGCCCAAAAATGTCTGTCCTGGACAAATGTGTTGAATACCTTCACCGCTCTGCTTTCATGATCTTTGGACAGTGGATGATTGTTGCCATTCTAGGTGTTGTCCGGTCCACCGGGCAGAATCTGTGGTGTCTCAACGTCCCTTTTACGGCCACCGCGTTGGTGAAGAGACTGCCGAGGTTCGCGGCCGCATTTGTGACAGCTTCCTTTGACACGTACATCATTTTGATCGTGGATGCAAACTTTTCATTGAAAACCAGAAAAGGTTCTCGGCATTGAGAATCTAGTTCTTACAGTGCGCCGGAGGCTTCCCAATTTGCGCGCTTTGTCGTCCCACCAATGCCATTGCGTGCGCCCATCCGTGCAAAGTTGCGGAAAAAATCCACGCGGATGTCACGCCAGGGAAATTATCGTTTTGAATACACGCACTCGCAATGTTACACTATTTTCACTGCTAACAGAACAGTTGGAGAAGCACACCAGCCTGTACGCTCCGCATCCCGGCCTGCTTTCCGTCCCCCAACACCAGCCTGTGCGTGCCGCACCCCGTCCTGCTCTCCGTCCCCCAACACCCAGCCTGTGCGTGCCGCACCCCGTCCTGCTCTCCGTCCCCCACAACACCAGCCTGTACGTTCCGCAGCCCGGCCTGCTCTCTGTCCCCCAAAACACCAGCCCATTCGGTATTCTCAGAGTGGTCACATTGTCTGGCCCAACGATGATGAAAAGGTCAGCTGGCAACTGACCACAAGGGTCACCCTGGCCCGGGACGGACGTGTCACAGCGTGTGGCGGCAAGTGAAACCCTCCGTATTCCTGTCTGGCGCAAGGGAGGAAACAAAATTATCCGTTGAACTGGACGGTATGACTTGGGTGGCGGGTTCAGGGTACACGCAACAAGCTATGCTTATCATTTACTATAAAGCAGTCGCCCACACAAACCATTCCAAGTATTTTTTTTAATATTTTTTTTTGTGTTACGGCATTGCGGCAATCCTCCCGATCCTAAATTTTAGAATCGCCTCATATCACAAACAAAAAATTGCCGTTTGATATTGTTTGGTCTATATACCCGTTACAGATTTCAAGACACCTTTTCATACTGAGTCAAATATATTTCCCGGCGTGCTTTCTGTATTTTTCAAGCTTTTTCAGTCCTTGCGCACAGATTGTCGTGTTAAATTCTGTTCACGATGACCATTGTTACGTCAAGCGATGTAGGTTAAAGTTCTTATATTTCATTGTGAATTGATCGATCTCTACCTTTGTAGCCGTTCTGATGATGGTACACGATGTATCGAACGTTCACAACTACGTTAATGACGGTGACTGCTATCCTTGCCATCAAGTGTTTACTACTTCTTATTACCCGAGTATGTTCCATATATATAGATATATATATATATATATATATATATATATATATATATATATAATATATATATATATGCACGTCTGGATACGGGTGGGAGAGCCACTAGACGTTTTAAATAACATTCTAGAAGAACGGTTTAGCCCCCCCCCCCAAAGTTAAGATCCTTCCCCGCCCCCGACCATAGGTCTCGCGACACTAAATTCAATAAGTTTGCACCTAGAATGTCTACTTTCGCAAGATGTCGTCCATCACGTCTCTGCACTGTCCTTCAGTTTAAAGAAACGTCATTGCATGTCGCCAGCACCGCATGGCCAGTTTTGGAAAACTCAAAAATTGCGTTTGCTGGACGAGAGTCATCCTTTTGTGTTGCTTTATTTGAAAAGGCATTGGTGAATTTGAAATCAGACTGAGACAAAAAATCCTAATTGTACTGCCAAACGGCCCAAGTTACTGCTTAAAATTAATTCACAGTGTCAAGCGATCGAATCCAAAAGGCCAACTTTCCAGATAGCGATCAAGATTTTTTGATAAACACAATGTCGATGATATGGAGGCTGAATGTGATCAAACTGATAACTTATGATTAATAAGGCAAAAAAATAATTTCTCACGAGCTCGTAGCTTGACAGTGCTAATAAACATCGCTACACTTCGGGCTATCACGTCCCGCTCACCAGTGATACCAAGGATGCAAGTGATTCCTTTCACTGCAGACACGGCTGCGAGAAGGCGCTAAAAGCAGAGGAAACTTGCTGTTGAATGCAAGGCATGGTTAAATGCAAATGCCGTGCCTGAAGCAGCCTTGTGCGTCATTGACGTGAAATTTTGAAAATCTTGTTGACTTGATATATTGTGCGCTTGCGCCCGTTGTCCTTTGGTTGCTCAATGGCAGATATAGTTGTAGCTGGTGGTTACCGACAACGTCCGCCGTTTCAATAGGCTGTTTTCTACCACTTTGTGGCACGTGTAATGCGCAGTAGTCCTCATAAATCTTTTTTTAACTCAAATATTTCAAAGATTTTGGAACTCCCTTCAGTGTCACCTGAGCCTCTGGATTATCATGTCATCGCTATCTCACCAATCGTATCGGAAAGACTGTGCAAGTAAGCAGCCCACTCCTCGGTTTTCTTGCAAACGAAACGATAACCCCCGTTGGTATGATAATGTCACAATTATTCGGCATATTGGTCTGCATGATGCAGTCCACATGTTATAGAACACATTATCTCTTATTCGGCACATTACCTTGGTATCAAACTGGCCAACGGATTTATTTTAACACTGCCGCAAGTTCGCTCTCTGGACAACTACAAATCATCTGCGACGTAGCTCCGAAATCGTATACGCTTTTTTACGGTGGCTCGAAATTTGCGTGAATAACAGCATGAAATATCGAACCTGCGCAAACCTCAGAGACATCCTGTATGCCTTATCAAATATGGTACAACCGAAAG